GACTCTTTTTCGGGAAAATCCTGCCAAATTTATTTTTTTTCCGCAAGAGTACGGGACGACGATATTTGTCTGCATTCCAAATTAGTAATGTGTGGGTCATTTTGTCGCCGGTACACCAATGGCCTACACTTGCGAAAGACGTTACGGGTTCTTCAATGCACGTTGTGAAGTATACGGTGCGTACGTAGTATTTGTGTACGGCTAATACACACCGCGGTATTCACCAGGGTGGCCGCTCGGAACGAACCCTGATCCTCTGCAACAAGCGGTGAATGCGCACCGCCGTGGAGGGGGGCATGGTGACCATGACGGATTTGAATTAAAATATTTAACGAGTTGCTCGTGCGCTCCCCACGGTGATGTCGAGCGGCAACGTCGCAGCCCCACTTGTTTTATTCCCGAAATTGGACGCTCGGTGTGGCGGTTACCTCCTCCCCGTGGTTGGTGCCGCGTTCTTAATTGCCACCGCTATTGTGAAACCAAAACAACGTACGGCAAAAGCAAAAAAATATAAATATATTCTTTCCACGTGACCAGCCAAAAGCAGGCGTGGCGTATATCGGTTACACAAGGCCCTACCAAAACCCACACGACTGAGACACTGTAAACAGGCGCGACAAAAACAAAATGTGAAGTCGACCACGTTCCACCTTGACCGTTTCTCATCCGAGAATGAATCAATCGCGTGTTTTTTTGGTTCTTGGAGTTCTAACTGGGCGTGAGATTTTGTTTTGCAGCCATTCCATGCATCTATCAGGGCATGCTCCGCGCGCATGCCCCGTTTGTGGACGGAATTAAAAAAACACGAGGCAGTGAGTGAGTGAGTTGACCGGATTTTTCCGAAACATCCTGGATTTTTCTGAGGGTTGCTGGAAAGGGAGGGGGGGTTTGAGTTTGTTTTATTTATTACTTTATTTTAACGAGCAGGAACGCGGTATCGTGCAGGAAGCAGGCAGGGTTTGTCTTCCGTTTGCGAACCTGCGTGTGTGTGTGTGCACGCGTAGCGCACGCACGTGTGTGTGTGTGCACCACGCGTGTGTGCGCATCACGAGTGTGTGAGTGTGCACCGCGCGCGTGTTTGCGCGCAACGCGTGTGTGTGCGCGCGCGAGCACCGTGTAATTCCAGTCCAAATTGCCATGGAAAAAGGGCAGCGCCAGAGTTTTTTTGGGGCTCGCCCAGTGACTGCCGAAGCGCTGCTCGCACAACGCAGGCAGGCAAGAAGGAAAACTCTCCTCCTTGGGGGGGGGGGGGGGGAAGAGTTCGGCTTGATGATTATTGGAAATGGCTTAAACGCTGGGGGAAGAAAAAACCATGGCGCACATGGCTCAACATGGGATTTCTACGCTCGTGTCCTCTCTATTACACCAATATTCCTTGCGTTTATTGTTCGTAATTTAAACGTACGCAGCCAGAATGCGCAGCTGAAATGCCACGTCTGGCTTGTTACATGCCACATGAGACTCCCGTACGCTAATGGTGTTTGGCGGACATTGAAATTTATGAGTATAATCTTAATGAAAATTCCCCCCACATTTTCAAGATAACCATTTCTAGTGCTATTGGTCACAGCGATTGCCGCAACATCTAATGTGCTGGCAAATGTACCGAAGATTCCGCTATCAGCACATCACCTGCACGATGCGATTCGACGAGAGGCGGTTCCTAATCGTTTTCTGAGAATCGCACGCGGAACTCATGAGTGCACGGATTTACTACACACGTTTTGCAAAAGCAAGTTATCATTTACATTTCACACGTGTGGACTTTCGAGACCAATATTACAATGTATTATTGATTTTAGGTAAAAACATATCTGCATATTGTTTACCTCTTCAGCACTCCACCTGTGTTGGAGAGCTCATTAATTGCACGTTTAAAACACGTAGGCTTTCGCGACCAATATTATTCATAAGGTTTTTGGGTTAGGTCGCGTAAATGTGTCGTGAAACCCGCCACCACCCGACAGCCAATTAGTAAGGTTCGTCACGTAAACAGAACATGCCAATTCGTTACTAGTTCAGCACACCGATGTTGGAGAGTAAATCCATAACATTTACAATTTTAGTTCGACGTTTCGCCAACAATTACAACCAACTCCATCAGGCGGCAGCAACAAATCTGGTTCTGTTTACGTTAAAAACTTTAATTGGCTGTGTCGGGTGGTGGCGGGTTTAACGACACATTTACGCAATCTAACCCAAAAAAAACTCTTATGGACATTGGAGCACGTTTGTCCATCACGTGACAACTTCATTGATTAGCCATGGGTGGAGGAGGGTGTACCACACATCTTACTTACGTGATCTGCCCCTCCCCCCCACCCCAAAAAAGAAAAAGTTACGAATTTTACAACCATTCAAGTCTGCTCCTCAAATGAATATTTCGGTCCGCAGTCACTTCCTCACCAAGTCAATATTTCTCATGCGTTGTTTCGCGTTGGCGCCTCGACGTGCACTGCATGGGGGGGGGGGGGGGCACGCAATATGAAGGGTACATTGATGATGGGCGGGACGCTGGAGTTGTTCAATTCCTGCATTTTACAATCATCCAGAGGTGCCAAACACAATCAGCTGTGGAGACAGTCACCGACACGCTGCTACAGAAGTGTCCGTTAATGTACGTGTGTACGGTATATACACAAATTTAAGGAGTAAATGGCCACACTTTACGGATGACTCATACATATCATGAAACGGGTACATAGTTTCATACCTTCTTTTGTGCAATTTGAACGCCATTCATTTGAGCTGAATGGGGTTCAAGATAACTCACAAACACCACGTTGGGAAAGACCCAACGCAGAAGATCCCTGTGTTTTGATCTTCCACGAAGCTCATGGTCCACCCTAAACCGCATCCACTGCACAAACCATGGCAGATGCGGTTACCCGATGCACAAATGGCAAATTATAAACCCTGCAAGTGTGCGACTGTGGTCATCCAGAACAGAGTCTACAATATATTATGCAATGCGCCGATCCACGGTTATCTGGGCTTGACCACCTGAATGCGAAATTGTAGTTTGTTGCTCTGCATTCTACATTACCCGTACGGAAGAATACGTTCTGCTGCCAAATTAAAGATGCCACAATCTCGGCTCTCTTGATCCAGCGGCCATTCCAAAGGCTCCACAGGGTAGAATGTGTACGGGCAGGATGTCACCTTGACACGCCAAGCATGCTGGGGTTCCTCATGTTTGTTGTTCAGGCAAACTTTGTACCAGCGAGCGTGCTTTACTGTGCACGTGTTGGCGTTGTTTGGTTCAGAACTGCGATTGTGGGACAGGCCAAAACATATTCTTAGCTTTCGATTTAAAGCTTTCGTGACTGCAAGGATTCATCTTCTTTGGTTCTTTCGGTAAAGTCACCAAGAATGAGAATAAAATAATAAATTGATAAAATAAAATACCGAAAGAACCAACGAAGATATTCTTAGCTCTTTCGGTAAAGTCACGTTGAAGTGAAACAATAAAATATATATATAAAACAATAAAAATTATCACGACGTTTCGACCTTAACACAAACGGTTATGGTCGAAACGTCGTGAGAATTTTTGTTTTACTGCAGTCACGAAAGCTTTAAATCAAAATTTCGATTTAAAGCTTTCGTGACTGCAATGATTCATCTTCTTTGGTTCTTTCGGTAAAGTCACGTAGAATGAGAATAAAATAATAAATTGATAAAATAAAATAACACAATAATATTCTCACGACGTTTCGGCCACAACACAAGCGGCCTTCATCAGGTGAAGGGGCGAGACTGTCTGGTAGGACAGCGCTGGAGTGAAAGAGCCACGTTCAGATCACGCTTTGTTCCTCTCACACAGCTTAAAGGCCGTGATCTGAACGTGGCTCTTTCACTCCAGCGCTGTCCTACCAGACAGTCTCGCCCCTTCACCTGATGAAGGCCGCTTGTGTTGTGGCCGAAACGTCGTGAGAATATTATTGTGTTATTTTATTTTATCAATTTATTATTTTATTCTCATTCTACGTGACTTTAAATCAAAAGTCCAAAACATATGAAGAAGTGACAGGGTGGGCAGCACAGCATGCTGGGTAGCGCTTTGAATTGAGGTTCTGACATCCACACAAACGCAGAGATTACGATAAAAATTGAGTGGGACTTTTACACCAACGTTCGTGTCTTAAACACATCCCAGGTCCAAATCACCTAGAACGTACCCAATCTCGGCTACATATTGCCAATCAAAGTTAAGTCTCGATAGCACTTGGATGGGCAACCATAATGGACAGATTGTCATCGGCAAAAGCAGTATGCAAATGAGAAGTGTAGAATAAATCCAGTTGTACTTTACTTCAATACTCCTAAGTGTATGCTCCCACCTTCACCAACCCACAATGGACAGCATCGTCACGTACATAGTACCCGATACACCAGCCTCTTGCTGCAATCAACAAACCCCACGACCTTGCAGCGTTAGGCCAAATGCCGACAGCCTACAATGGAACAGTATTGTACAAAATGCCTTCTCTGCAGATTGGAGGGCAATTCTTGGAGAATAACAGCACAGGGGAAAGGGTCGGTTTTGTGGCCAAAATGTGCATCTAACTTTTTGTTGTCCTCCCCCCCCCCCTCACAACAATTAGTATAGAGCACCGAGCAAGTTTCAACAACAATTCTCATCAGCAGGGTGAGACCCAAAAACAAATGCTTCCACGTTTTCCCCCGGGGCAATTCAGTACGGCCGCGCAACGTCATCCAGAATATTTTTTGGAGCATCTCTCCGATGAGAGATGAGAGATGCGAGAGGGCAGCTACCGACGCCGCACCAACAGGAACGGGAGATTCCAAATCTAATCCCCATCAGCACGCCGCCTTCACCGTCTCCGAGGGGAGGAGGCCACACCGCCACCGGGAGAGGTCAAGATAACGGAGGCATTCCGCGGGCCCGAGGAAGGAAGAGAAGTGATAAATACTGCAGCTGCGGGAAAGGAAGCTCAGCGAAACCGACACCATAGAAAAAAGCTCGACAAAAAAAGTGAGTGTGAGAAATTACAGATCTTTATATATAAAATAAAATACACGTGTCCCCCCCCCCCCACCCCACATGCACAAACTCACACGACCGCCGGGCCTCACCACGCACACTCTGCGTCGCTCCGTGTGGGCCCCCCACAAAGGCCGATGCTAACAGCACCTCGGCGCCTCTCGCAGTACATCGGGAGGGAGGTTTCCCTCCTTCAGTGGTCATGGCACTACCAACGCAGCCTTCATTATTTACGCACCCCCCAAAAACCAACACAGCACACGCGCGCCGCACAACGCGGCTAACAAAAACAACAAATAGCATTACAGCGCAATTATATATACACAAACAAGTGTGGCTTTTCGCACGATGGTGATAATGGCATTTAAAAAAACACCTGCTTGGTGAAACTGTACACAAGCGTCATGCAGGGAAGGATGTTTCGATGCAGTGGGTGCATACAGGCGAATGTGGAAGGCAAGGTCTGCCTTCAGACTGACAGATGACGAGCGTGGAAAACCGCGCGTCGACGATGGCATCTTCACGTTGCCGTCTTCCGTCTCTGGATTAAAAAAAAAATCACGCATGGCAACCACAACACCCACCGGGCACGTTGAGTCCGAGCAAATAAATACAAAAAAACGCGCTTTTTGACCGTTGCCGCCACAATAAATCGTGCATCGGCGCAATAGCATCCAGGAAGATGAAAAAGTTTGTGTTTTAAAAAGTGATATTCTTGGTTCTTTCGGTAAAGTCACGTAGAAGGGAAACGAGAAAATAATTGTAAAAAAAAAGAAACCCAAGAATGAATCCCTGCGGATCACGAAAGCTTTAAATCAAAATTTGAAAGTGATGTCAACGTAAAAAGAATGAAAGTCGTTTAAGTGGTAACTTCCTTTGGGCAACTTCAAATAGGTTATCTTTCTAACCAATAAGAGTCATTATTTTGCCTGTCCGTCTCCGCACGCGAGGGATTTAAGCTCTCAAACGGTGGTGGGGTTCACGTCGAAAAACATTTATTTTTTGACAGGTACCACGCCGTTAGCCCCGCGGTGGGCAAGCGCTATTCCGTTTTCCCGTCCGTTACCTTTTCATTAGTTTAAATAGCGGGGGGGAGGGTTGTTGTTGCGATTTATCTTCATTTAAATATAAAGTTTGGCCCCTTTTTATTTAATTTCCCTTCAGCCGCTCGGAGAGTGACGACGCAGCAGGCTGCACTTGCGCACAACGCCCACCACGTATTCTTGGTTCTTTCGGTAAAAGTCGCGTAGAAGGGAAACAATAAAATAATAGAAATATAAACGGTGGGGTTTATGTTCTATACGAATCCCTGCAGTCACGAAAGCTTTAAAAAAAATCAAAATGTAACGGCCCACCTCGTTTAGCCCCTAGCAGGCTACACGCGTCACCGACGGAGGCACACATTAATTAGTACTATTAGCGTTCCTAAACTTAAAAAAACGGAGGCGAGTCGCATTTAAGCTTTTCTCAAATGACACTTTGCACTGCAAACCATGGGTTGTCCCCTAGCAAACGCACACACGAGCGGCACAAATTTGCATGCACGTTAAACGTGCAGCAAAAGCACGCGAAACGCTTCCGTTAATTTCTTCACAGTGCGATGTCCCTCTTCTCCCCACCCCCCGTCCTCAAACTACCACAGAGCCTCGATATATTCTAATTATTATTATAGCGCTTACGTTGTATTATTGTAGCGCGGACGGGGGGGGGGGGGGGGGGGGAGCGGTCCAGCCCCCAGCCTGCCCAGGGCACACCTCGCCCGGCTGGAAAAACTAGGCGAGGCCGAGGGCTCTGCATGAGACTAGGCCTCACCACGCCAATTTTAGGCACAATAGCCTTTTCTTTCCCTAGCCTCACCTTGATAGCAACCTTTTATATATAATAACCTTCCTAATACATTGCCTACGTTTGTGTGCAGACAACTATATTTTTTTGTTTGACTGCTCACAACTAATATTTTTTTAAATTTGTCAACTCGCCTTCATTAGAAATATGCGTCTTCTATTACCACCTTGCAAATATTACATTGATACCGGTTGTGTGCAGACAAGTGACATGTCTATTCTTCGCTTCCTTTCGCTAAACTCGCGTACATTGTAACCTATGCTTTCAATTATCACCTTCCAAACATTACACGAGAAAAGTTGCGTGCAGAAAACTAGGATTTCTCTTCCTTGTTTCGCTAAACTCACGTACATAGAAACCTATTAAAAGATTCACCTTGCAAATATTACAAATCATAACGTTTGGGTGCCGACTACTAAACAGGTCTACATTTCCTTTAACTATGCTTATATATATTCTAAATTGCCTCTGGGTCCTTGTGCACGCGCGAGTCCCTGTCTGCCACCATGTGTGTGTCAGTCGATTTGTGTGTCGGTCAATGTGTGTGCGTAGACAATTAAACTTTTAAAAGTACGTGAGTACATTTATTACCATCTACGATGTATGTGTGTGTGTGCATGACTTGATATATCAGTGTTTCAGTCGAGGTGTGTGTGCGGCTCCATTTCACTGTGTAAGTCAATCACTTTGGTGTGCGTGTAGGTGCATGTGTGTGTCTGCGTCGGTCTCTGCATGTGTGCGTATCTAAAGTCGATGCCTGTGTGCGAGTACCCTGTGTTTGTGTGCATTAGCCGGTGTGTGTGTGTGTGCCTCCATGCGAGTGTTTAAGTACTTTTCTTTGTGTGTGTGTCGGTGCATGTGTGTGTGTGTATATATGAGTCCATGTGTGCGAGTTACTCCATGTGTGTATATCGAAAGTCGATGCCTGTTTATGCGAGGCTGTGTGTGCGTTAGTCGATGTGCGTGTCTCAGGGTCCATGCGTGTGTGTGAGAGTCCATGTGTGCACGTGGGGCCATGCGAGTGTGCAACTCCCATTTATTTGTGTGTGTACGTGCATGTGCATGCGAGTGCATGCGTGTCAGGCCATGTTTGTGTGTATATAGAAGGCAATATCTTTGTGTGTGTGGGTCAATGTCTGCAAGTGTGTGCAGGTCGATGTGTGGGTCTGGGCACTTCCCGCTAGTACAAGTGTAAATAGGCGACGTTGAACAGGGTTCAGTGAATATCACCCTCCCCAGTCCAGAGAGTTGTATTAAGAGGATGCCTCCACATACACACAGTATATATACTTTAAAGTTAGTCGCGCATGTTGCATATGAATAAAGATCTTTGGTGTGTACAGATCCACCCCTCCCCACCACAGACCACACTCTATAAACATGCACACACAGACAACACGTGGCAAAAAATTGTGCACGCAATTTAAACAGAAAGCGGCGAGAGCCAAAACATTTACCCAAAACAATCCTCTTTGGCACAGGGCTGGAGTCTAAGAAAACTAATTGCATTACAACACATACCAGCAGTACACAAAGCGTTTAAGGAGATCTTGATGGCAGCCCGTCTGACACCACACTCTGGTTGGTTAGGAGGAACAACACCGAGGACGGACGGAGTTTTCAAATGCAGTACACAAAAAACCTACAACTCCCCAACAAAACATCTTGCTGCTTTGTGAGAGGGTTTTTTGTGGCCAAATTCCAGTCACAAATACATCCTGTGTGAGGGTTTTTTTTTAAGGTGGGGGGGGGGGGAGAAGGAAAACCAACTTGGAAGTTTTGTAAATGAAAGACCAAAAAAAATCAACAATGGTCGTGTTGATAACCCCGGCCCAACAAAGAGGTTGTTTTTCGTGCTTGGGTGTCGAATACGCTATACCACCATTACCAGGTGAATTACAAAAACCGTGTTTAAAAAAAAGTTAATACAAACCCCCACACAAAACAACAAAAACAAGTCGCCGCACACGTACACAGTTTGCCCCCCTCCACAGCTGTCCGCATCAACGAGTCACAGTCCGCAGACATCGAGGGTGGGGGGGGGGTCACCACAATAACATCTCGTCTCGTTCCACACGTGACGAGGCCTCATCAATATTTTACCTCGCCCGCTGCCATGCGATGGTCAGACCAACAGCTAAGGGGCAGGGCATTTTCTGTCATCGAAGCAACAGCACCACTCGCCCACCAATCCCACTTCACGGTACTCGGGAAGAGAAAGATAGGAGACGCGTAGGCACACAGATGTTGCGCCCTGAATGATTAATGCACAGCACCTGCACCAGGGCTCTACAGCCTCGGGCCTATATTCATGTGGGGCACGACGGAAACTTACGAGCGCAGCGTTGTGGCAATTTTAACAAGTTACTCTTGAATAGACATGCTGAACGGAAATTAGTGATAAAAACGTGGATACCAAACGGTACGCGCATGCCTGTAAAATAAAAAAAAGGTTTATTGACAGCGTTAGGATTTTGTTGGCTGTGCTGGTATGGGTAAAGACGAATTTGGCCAAGGTGAGGAATCTTAAACGAGAGACTGGAAACGTAAGGAGCAGCTCGAACCCACATTTTTGGCAAGTTCAATAATAGCTTTAAAATAATAAATCCGAGGCTACTAATGTTTACACAGGCCCACCCCGCTAGGACAAAAACAAACGCATTGGATTAAACCGACTACGAATCTCGCCAAAGTTGGCTTCGTGACACCAGTGTTCGTGGTTGTTTTTTTTTTGCATACGGTGTAAGCAACTCGTAGGTCCCATGCAAAAAAAGTATTTGCGTATCTCGTGCTGATTGCGTGCGTTTCAGAAAAGGACTCGTGCAGGAGGGTGGTGGAGGGATCCTCAAAACCACACCTCGCATTCATCATCAACCCCTGGAAACCACAAACCAAGGCCACTGTGGCGTCCTGTGGCCGACCGTTCCGCTATGCCACAAGGTGGGGGGGGGGCGGATGACGCGCTGTTGCCTGCCTCCGCTAGCTGTAGTAGTTGTTGTACACTGCTGTGGCGCTGGAGAGAGCCGAGATGAGGTTGGACTCTCCAGAGAGGCAGGTGGAGGAGGAAGTGGAATTTTGGATTGGTGTGGAGCAGCTGGCCGACACCGCCACCTCCGCGCACGGCGCCAGCATGAGGTACTGGTCCAGCTCGCTGCGATCCACTTCCTCCAAGTACTGGCCGAACGGCTCCAGGACCTCCAGCACCTGCGAGTGGGAGGCCCTGGGCGGCTCCGGCGGAGGCGAGGGCTGCCCAAAGCTGAACGCAGTCGGGTCGGTCCCCACACCGTGCAGCGCGTAGAGGGCACAGTGCGCGGAGCCCCCACCACCACTACCGCCGCCGTGGTACGGAGATGCATGGATCTGCTGGCTGGAGGCCCCCACCTCCTGGCCCTGGTAGCTGCCGCCGTCACTGCAGGCCCCGAGCTGGTGGTATCCATACAGCGGCGCGGGGGCGGCCGACTCAGCGGCTGGGTACCCGTGCCCCATTGCAGCGGTGGCGTAGTAGTCAGGGTGAAGGTGCGCGCCCAGGTACATTGTCGGCGGGTACGCGGACGAGGACGAGACCGACGATGCGGGCGACGACGCCGAGCTGGAGTCGTCCGCGGGAGGGGAGCGCTCTGGGGTGGGCAACCCACATGGCGCCCGTTGCTGCTGCTGCTGCGTATAGTGCAGCGGCGCCGGCTGCAGCTCGCGGTAGTGCACCACGCCCTGCTGCTGCTGGTGCTGCCGCTGTTCGCGGTGGCCGAACCCCGGCGGCAGAGGAGGCGGCGGCGGCAGGGAGGAGAGGGAAGCGGGGCCCCCAGGCCCCCGGGTCCCATCCCCCGGGCCCCCCGCTCCCGGCTGAGCACCGCCGCCACCTCGCTTGGCGCTGTGCGGGAGGCGCTTGGGCTGCTTCTTGCGCCGTGGGCGATACTTGTAGTCTGGGTGCTCGCTCAGGTGCAGCAAGCGCAGCCGTTCTGCCTCCTCCACGCATGGGCGCCGGCTCTCCGGGGTCAGCGCGCGCCAAGACTTGCCTGCCACACGGGGGGAAGGGGACAGCCATGGAGAGGATGAGAAGGGGGTTGGTGATGGCAATGTTTGATGGTGTGGGTGGCAAAAGGTGAATAAGTGCTTTGGGTGATCGTTTTGATTTCAGTGGGAGCGGTGGCGATGTTGTGGTGGTGGAAGCGATTGAGGTCACGGCAACGATAGTGAACGTTGTTGCGGTGGCAATGTGGTGGAAGCGATTGAGGGTTATGGTGGAAGTGATAGAGGATGTGGTTAGTGGTGGCGGTAAGGTAGTGGTATGGCCATGGTGGTCGTGTGGTGGCACAAAAGGCACGCACAAAAACAAATACTTTGTAGAAGTCTGACAATGCTCGTACCATCTACCGACCGAGCTCTCCCGATCTCGAAGGTAGGAGGCCGAGTTTATCCGGGTCACACTGCATTAAATGCCAGTGTTTGGACTTTCAACAACATGTACTATGCCGTATGATATTTACACCGCGCACAAAAATCGGCACCACGCAAACCTCGCCATGACAATATGGAATTCCCGCCACCGCTGCAGGGTTACCCCAACAGACCTGGCACCGCTCCAAAACGCTGGTCGCTTGATTTGATCAGCTAACGCAGCCTTAACGGGTGAACACCGAGTGGCCAACCACCGATTAAACCCTGGGGTCGGGGAGTTAAAGGGTTAACGACTGCACATTACTGTACTACCCCCCCCCCCACCCCCCACGGGGGCGGCTTCCTTGTTAGAAGACTTGGGGGTTTCTTCCCCCACGCTAAACAACAACAACACCAACATAAACACATTGACCAAACGTCCCAATGCAGGATCCTCCCCCGAAGCGTTTAGAGAGTCTGCGAGGGCCGTTTTTCCTGGACGATCGTCGACACGGTAGCGGTCACGAACTTGCGGAACCGCACACGACATCCCGCGCGTTAAAACCGTATGGACGGGGCAGCCACAAGCGTGTTACGTGCACAGCGTTCACACGCCTCTCAAAAAAGCCCATCTTCGAGGGTTTCAATAAAATGGTTGCGCGTTTAACCATGAACTAGAGACTGTGCAGGGATATACAAATGATTATTATCATGAATGTAGAACCTTCAGCTTTAAAATCGTTGTCATCACTCAGTAGCCGCACATTTACACTGCGCCCGATGGAAGCGTCTCGAGGTTTCAGACGCCAAGCCTGGGAGTGGGGGGGGGTACCCCCTAATGGCAGCTTGTCCCAGCGTGCATATTTAGCCCCATTTGGTGTTCATGAAAAAAAGCCTTTTATAAATACGTCAACACAGTTCTCAAATCAAAATATATTAAATGCGCTAGGATTGTGATGTATACACTAAACACGCGCGTTGTAACAAGTCCATACCAGGGTCAAGTTGAGATCACTCCGGCAAGCAACGAAGGTTCGGTGTGAAAATGTCTACATACAATGGGGAGGCTTCTCCCCTTGCCGTGTGCATGTCGTGATAGTGAACGTGTAATGAAATAATCCAACAAGGTCCGGTTGTCAATGTTAAATTTACTCTGCTTTCTGCGCTCCCACTTGTCACCAACTCTTAACTGGCCCAACCACGGTAACAGTATAGTTCGTTCAAATATCCCCCGACGAGCCCAACTATTTGTAACCATTTTTATTTATTTATTTCACCAGGTCAGAGTCCACTGCCCTATAATCGCTCTATTTCAGAAGCGACCTGGCCACAAATGAGAGCTCAACCAAGTGGCTTATCCCGTGGAAATGGATAGCAGCCAAACACTCGAAATGCATGTTCTCTCAATCTGGAGGGAAAAGTCTTGAGGACCCAGAGAAAGATCGGGATCGAACCCACGACCTCCTGCATACCAGACGAGGTAGTTAATATTCACCGTGGCGCGAAGAGGCGCTCATTCAGCAGTGGATCGAGCAAAAGGGACCCCGTGTACACGAGCAGGTCTCGGGGGCCAATGGAAGTCACAAGTGGCAGTGGCGGTGGCTCGCGCTCCCGTGAGGAATAAAAACTCGGCCCGCATCTTAAGGGTTCAAACCGAGACTCGGGGTGGTTCGTGGGATCGCTAACGCTCACGAGACTTGATTTAAAATGTAACGCTCTCCGATACGCTCAGCACATTCGTCTCGGCTGCCTTAAAATATAAAATCACGTGTGACGTGTTGGGCAATGATCCTTCATCATAGCACCTTGAACGGCAGTGTTATCAGTTTCGTTAACAGAAAAAAGGCTAAGGCAGTAGCATCGCGAAACAAACGTTATTTAAAGCATATCGCTTGACATGGTCATAACGATTATTTTTTAAAGGGCACCCCCAGTGGCATCTGTTCCTGCGGGCACAAGGCGACTTCAGCACCTGGCCTGCAGACGACAATTAAGCCTGCCAGGTGTGGTGGGGCGGGGTATAGCCACGGTTGGCAGGTGTAATCCATAATTAATAATTTGCGGGTAATTTCCGACTCTGGCTACTTTAAAAAATCGCTAACTTCCTGCACAGAGGAACAGAGCTGACGCTATTAATACTGTTGTTGGCGACAGCACAACGCGCGCGCGCGGGTACACGGAGCACGCACGCGCGCGGGTACACGGAGCACCCGCGCAGCAGGCACCTCGGGGTTGCCATAGCTAAAGCTGCTCCCCGAGACTCCTCGCTAATTTCCGGACGTGATATAACTTAGTATAATAGATAGAATATTTCAGAATCAGAATATTTATTTAGACTGGAGGACTATTACGGGAGCGTACTAGTAGAGATGCGGCTTCTCACAGTCTAGACCCGAGATGCGGCTTCTCACAGTCTGGAGCATTGGTTCTTAACATGTGGTGCACGCATCCCCTGGGGGTTCGATTTGCCCTTTCTGGGGGTGCGAGACATGGCCAGATTATGTTTTTAAAAAGGCAAATCGAAGCACAAATTAAGCACGGACACGCAAGGACAACTACTTTGTTTTATCAAGCCCCTATGTATATTTATTATTATTGTAATATTTTAAACGATTAAGAAGCCAAAGGGGTGCAAGGCTGCAAGTCAAGGTTTAAGAATCACTGGTCGAGACTATCGACGCAGGTAATACGAGTTGACCCTGTAAAAACGAACCACGTGCCAACCCGGTCCAAATAACGTTTATCAGACTACAACGGCACCAATTCGAATACTAAAAGAAGTCTATTAGAAAACTGGCGATTCGGAGACGCAAGTTAAACGAGATACTGTACTGTAATTATTTGATAATATTACATTTTTCTCGAAACGACAGTTAAATGATAGTTGGTCATTTGGACAATATTCACGTATTCGTGATAATACAATTAAATTAGCTTTATGTTAAAGTCGGATTGCTTGTGTTGCAATCGAAACGTCGTGATTTATTTTATACCTACGTGACTTCAACCGAGAGAACCAAAGAGTTTACTCGCAAGCCTAATATTAAAAACACCGCGCGCGCGAGCGAGCTTTGTTTTTGCCAGTCACGTTTTTAACGAGTGATGTCAACCATCAGGAATGTTACCGGTCCACGAAACGTCCCTCCCTCCCAACAATTCGTTAATTGCACAGTTAGACTCCCCTCCCCCCCCTCCGTGTGCGACTTCACTGTAAGCGAACGCATCTACACAGCCCCACACACGCGGCGACTTTGAATCGCCGTCGTGTTGCGCTAAAAAAAAAACTGTCGGTGTAGCCGTGAATCAAACGACTCCATTGGGAGAAGCTTATACAGCGGCATCGACCCTTGCAGGCGAAGGAGTTGACGACACGCGAGCCTCGTTTAAAAGCCACGCGATTAGCCGTTAATTGCTGCCCGCGGAGTGCGTGGCACGAGTCGCAAGACGGGGCGAGTTGCTCCCCCACCCCGCAGCGCCAGCCCAGCGCGTTCGCGACAAATTCCCGGGGCACTTACAAACACGCGCGTGTACACCACCCCCCCGTCTGCCCGCCGCCACAGCCGGCCACGTCTTACACAATTCCGTTGTGGGGTTCACAAGTTACATTTTATGGATTTAATAAAGTTCGGAGTTTTTTCGTCGCTAAAATCTACCAATTTATATTTCACTAGCGGTAAGTACCCGGCGTTGCCCGGGCGAAATAGACGGACACACACACATCGACACACACAGAAACATCGACTTAGATTCAAAGTTAGCCGCTATACCCTGCCATAGAATACACAAGCGGCAAAACAGAAGTTCCAACCTTGGGGACACGGCGTTGCCGCGACTCGCCGATGAACGATCATGGTTTCACTCAACTGTGTAACTGTTGCACGTAAAATAACATTTTCTGGAACAGTTGAGAGAGTTCACGTACACGGGAAGAGTTGGTTCGCACATTAGCCACAACGTAAAACACCGTTGTGTCTATTCTAGATTTGAAGCTTTCGTGACTGCAAGGATCCATACTCTTTGGTTCTATTCGGTAAAGTCACGTAGCTAAAAAATAAAACAAATCACGACGTTCCGGCCACAACACAGGTGGCCTTCTTCAGGTGAAGGAACAGAACTTCAATGAAGTGCTGTCCGTCCCGACAGTTCTGTTCCTTCACCTGAAGAAGGCCACTTGTGTTGTGGCCGAAACGTCGTGATTTTTGTTGTTTTATTTTTTACCTACGTGACTTTACCGAATAGAACCAAAGAGTACCGTTGCGTCTCTTCGTTCAACGCGGATTAGGGGGCGGGGTTCGGTGTGGCGTTCTGGTAAATGGATCGGGTAGGAACGGGTAATTTGTAAAAAAAAATCGGATTAAATCTTAACCGTAGGTTTAGCCTGTGGTTTATTGGACAACTGCTTCGACCCAACCCATCCTGAACGCGGCAAGATGTGGCCCGAGACTCGTCCACGCGAGCTGCGTTGCCGCTGCAAAATATCTCCCCGCGAATAAAACACCATCACCGCAAGACACAATATATATAAAATTACAATTAGTAAAACAAACCTAGAAAACTAGGCGACAATAATTAAGTTTGAGAGAGTTCGGAAGAGGATACGTTAAGGATAGTGATGGGGTTGTTAGGCTTATCGAGCGAGAGTTTAGGCCAAGGTGGTCTAGCGTTAGACCAGTCTCACAGCTTGTTGGCGAACGTAAACCCCAACACACGTACGGGGTTTGACGGTAATTATACACTATATAACACGATTTTTGTTCCTGGGTAGTAGTAAGTGTTATTTTCTAATTGCTTATGCCTCAAAAGTATCGGAAATGACTTATTCCCCACGAACTTTGCTTTTGTGACACTTACTACCCAGGAACAAAAATAAAATTACATTTGTTACGCAGTGTTACCAAAGCGCTGTGCAAATGGGACCCCGTCTCTCGCTGGCCCAGTCCACTGCTGCCGGGACACAATGTCGTGCCCGAGGGACGGTGGACTACGTAGCCAGAGTTGATTCCTGTCGGGACGTTTTTGTTGTTTGGTTGTTGCTGTAAGCTCCGTTTCCAGGGAACGTGGCCTTAACGGCGAAACAAAACAAAGGAGCATCAACGTTTCCGAGTAGCGGGGTGGAAAGCGCTCGGGGGGGGGGGGGGGGGCACCGCGGGGATGGTTGTGGTGGCGTCACTTCGGTGGTAGCGGTGGCGGTCTCCGTACGATTAAAGGGCCCCATGGAACCATCCTCACCCACTGGCCGCAGCAAGCGAAGGAGGAACACGCCGGCTGACCCTTCCGATGGGAACTCGCCCAAGTCGAAACAACGAGGCTTACCGCATCTACCGAACGTTACACGCGATGTATCATCCGACGCCTATAGGTTGATGCATTTACTACGAATGTAAAACACTATAAATGGGAGTTAAAAGCCATATTTGAGAAGGTATAAAGTTCACACGACACAATTCGCTTTAGACCGCATTCGGCAAGTAGCGTTACCCGTTGACACCATGGCCGACTCTGGTCAGAACTACGCCCGGCCGCCTTTGTCTTTCCAATTCAACATTTGACACCAGGGAGTATACGTTCAATTTAATCACGAGTATACTTAAGAGAGGTTTGGATACTACCTTTCCAATGTTATCCATGGGTCAGGAATTGGAACCCGGGTTACTAAGGCGCCCCCACGGCGCTTGTGCCAAGTTAGGTGCGCCCCGAGACAAAGTAAAGTGTCGACGGTGTTAGCTGCTATGAGAACACGGGACATGCCCAGATGTTACGGGTTAGCCAATCAAGATGATTTCACCTGCGCTCCCCCACTGTCACACAGACAAAGAGACACTCTCCCCCCTGTGTAGCCCGCACCGACGGCTGGGCAAGTGTTGCGAGCGAGCACCTAAAGGCCCTCACGACACTGGAGTGGTTTGGCGAGAACCACGCCCGGCCATTTGCTGATATATCTACAGAGTACAGTACTTATTTAATGCCGAGTCTACCTAGGAGAAGGCCCAGGACACATACGACTCACCTAGCATCTTGCTGAGCTCAGCATTGTGCAGATCTGGGTTCTGTTTGGCCAGACGCCTCCTCTCATCCTTGGCCCAGACCATGAACGCGTTCATGGGTCGCGGGATGCGCGGTTCTCCCTGTTGCTGCGTCTTGCTGCTGCTGCCGCCGCTGGCACCGCCGCCTCCCTCCTGCGTCCTCTTGGCAACCTCCGTGACAGCCTGAACGCCCCGCGGGCCCGTACCTGGACTCGAACCCGGGCCCACCTGGCCGGGACTCGGCGACGCGCGGGGGGCCGCGCCACCCGGCCACAGAGCAGCCGAGGACACGAGCGGGGTCTGCTGCTGCAAGTGCAGCAGGTGATGATGTCGTTGGCGCTGCTGATGTTGGTGCGTTTGCAGGTGATGGAGCGGGTGGTGGTGAAGATTTGTCTGATCGTCGCTCATGTAGCCTACATCTGGACTACTCATTCTCTATCTAATGATTAAAAAAAAGTTACCGTGCAAGCAGGTAAAGCGAAGAGAAGAAGACTCCAGGTATATTTATGGTCCTCTCTCACGCGTTAAACTAAATAACCCAAGCAAGAACTGGTCTCCCCACGTCTCCAGTTTATCTATCTGTCTCTCTCTCTCGCTGGGTCTGAGAGCTTCCCAAGTTTTTTTGTGGGAGGTGGCTGGGATTGTTTGGATTTTATAGCGAGCGCCCCTCCAATCGCCTCGCGCTCCGGGTCGCAGGAGCGGGTCCCATCACCGCCCCCTTTACCCAAGCGGGGGGTTCCAACCCCAGCCAGACCCCCTGCCATCATCACGGTTTCTTTACCTCTCTCTCCCTCTCTCAGCGTGCGCCAATTAACAAACGCACACCTGAAATCGTTTCGGCCGCCGCTCGCGAATACCATGAATAAATGTTTAGGGCGCATGTGGGGGTTCCAGTCTGCTGTCTGGTGCGGGCCGCTGTGATTAATTGCGGGAGGCGCTCTCTGATTCATCGCTGATTAGAGGTGGGCGCACGTGGGATTAGTTTACGATATGAAAGGACTGAGCTGGGGGGGGGGGATTCTTTTTTAAAATCTAAACACTTTATTTGTGAAACGCTTTGGACGTCGCTCGGAGGTTAAATCGTTCAAATTCGCCGCAGTAGTTTTAAGCGTTGGGGAAACATTTGAGGTCATCAAATACGAACGTTACGAGAAATTATTGCGTAATGTCATGATATCTGATGTGAGATCCCGTGTCGTTGACAATCTCGCGAGAATGGGGCTTCTCCGGGTGCTGCCCACGTGGATAACAAATACTCAATCGTTAATGGCCTGGAAACATCCCAAAGTGAAAAAGGAGTCTTGCGGCTCGGTGTAGCGCTCCTGGACGAATAAAAGTGAGATCATACGAATGTTGATCATGAAATACGTTCCATTTAAATTAAAAAAAACATCTTTATTTGCCATACTGCATTTCCAGTGGTACACGACAGCACAAATAATACGCATTCGCACGTGTGTACAGTAATTCCGTATGTATGTTGAACTTCTTTCGCACCGTACGTAACCAACCGCGATAGCCACACCGTGGGCCATAGAAAGTGAACCGACCAAGTTCAAACAACCCAAAAAAAATCACCGCGCGCACCCCTCCGCGTTTGTATTCCTCGCACGGATGCTGATCACCGCTGCCAGCTATGGCTGCAAGTTTGGTCGTACATGTTATGTATATCGTTTATAGTGAAATTTGAATTACAGTTCCTATGATTACTGTTGTTACATTGTTTTTTATAGCTTTATTTTGGTGATTTCGAAAACATGTGGTTAAGCCATGTTTCTTTGCGGAAGTGCGGAGTTGGCCTGATAACTTGAATCTAAATTGTCTTGTGGTTGTTATTGTTTGACTTGCATCACACTGGGATTTTTTGCACACAGCGTTGTAATACGGTGTTTTTTTTTCTGGAAGATTTGCTGGTTTATCCAGGATGTTTCTGTTGCGCGTCGTCGCTTTAAGATGTTCTCTGTTCATATTTAGTTTGTTGCGGTTGCACCCGACTCAAGAGCCGCGTGGCTCACCATATAAATGAAACTTGAAAAATTTAAAACCGCCGTCGCACCAAGTACGTATTTTAGGCTGAATCAACCTAGGGGCCCCGAAAGACAATCTTTGATACAATTTTATCACTGCTGTTGTTCACAGCCAGGAATCGAACCCAAGTCATTGGCATCGTAACGGGATGCGTGAGCCACTGTGCCAGTTATTCTCGTAGTTCTATTAAAGCGACATTTACAGCAACACTGGGCGTACAGAGATACACAAATATAGGACTCCTTATCATAGCCGTAACATGTATGATTAGATATAGGCTGCATCGTCTTCATCATGTTAAAGTTATATTGACGAATATGGCGGAATCATTGACCCGGCAACCAGAGTTCGATTCCCGGCCACGGATAACATCAGTGGCGAGTGATACTTGAACCTGGTCTCCGCCCCTTCAACTCACCTTGGCATGCGTGGTGAAGTATGGTCAAATACTGCACTTCCCCTCCCTCCCCCGCCATCGACGTGGGGGAGGCCTTCAGTCACAAATCGGTTGTAAATTTGCTTTATTCTTCTCTATATGTTCGTAAGCATGTGATCAGTCGAGAAATCGATGTACGATCCACCAGCCCCTTTTTGCCAAAGCGCTGGGTCACATATCCACCGTACACAGCGCTCGTGTGTCACCACGATAGTAGTAATAATAAAACATTATACAATATTGCCTATTGTTCTGTGATGTAAAGAGAAGGGCACTTGCCAATAACATCGAGCAACCTAGGATAGCACGCCTGGCTCTGCTGCTGAGACCCATATGGTAAAGGTACATCTGGAACGGACACTCAATCGGCCGTCCGGCGACACGATCTGTTTGTGTCGAGATACGGAACTAACGGCGGTTCCATCCGGTGGTCGACGATAATAACGGAGCGACCACCGCCATCAGAATGTGCATTTATACTGGAGGAATCCGGTGAGCTATGAAGCTCTTTTCCCCCACAGATGTCAAGTAAAACGCAACATTGTTCGGTAAAAACAATCAAACCGAAGCACCGCGAGAAAACGTCGAATTCGGTTGTTTTTCCGCAAGTGGGTGATGGTGATTCACGGTAATTTTTTTTTGCCCGGCGCTGTTTTGCCTGACAGCGGCCAACAATGGCATTGGCAGAGAAACATCTCAGGAGAGAAGCTAGTTGCATTCAGCAGCAGTAGCAGCAGCAGCAGCAGCACAACAATGAAATATGCGTGCGACCCTCTCCCCTTCGTTGTCCCGAGCGGGGGATATTTGGCAAACGCAGCGACCCAGGGCGAGCTTCAAGGGGTCCAGGCAGGCGTGCAGTAGGGTAAAGGTAACTGTGTTCACCCGCAACCCCTACGGGCCATATAATGTAGACCACTGTCATATACGCTCCTTCAACAGAGGAGAAGAACTACCAAAAACGGGGTTCTGTTTGTGTTCGCGTGTTCGAAGCACGTCTGGTCGTCTTCCTGAGCTCTCTTCCCTCGCGAGTTCAGTTTCATGAACGCCTTCCCAAATAACCTTGGAATCGTTTCATTGATTTGACGTGTTATTGTCTGTTGACATGTCAGGAAGATGCAATATATGTTTAATATTAATGGTTTTTAATGCAACATTGTTTATAATTGTGCTGTAATCGGTCTAAATATGTGCCTGAGCTGGCTTGCGTTTCAGGAAATGTATTGCTTAACATTTATTTAACATTGATTTGTGTTTGTGCAATTCGATTGCTTACGGGACACAGTGGGTTTTTTTTCTCTCTGATTATTTTGCTTTTGTCATTCTTGTGAGCCAGATCAGCCTTGCAAATGAGATTCCCTACCCTGGTCTCGTGAGCGCTCACCTGGATACACAACACAACATGAGCTTGACCACATCTCTGTCTATAACAAAGCGGGGAGATAACCCACGTGAAGATGATCGGTTATCCGATTAGGACGTACGATGGGAAAGAAGTTCAACATACATACGCACAATATGAACGAAAATTTATAGCAGCCAAATACTATAAACGCGTGCTTCTAAATGAGGAGGGAAAAACCGGAGGACCTGGAGGAAAATCCACGCAACCACGGGGAAAACATGCAAACGGTTTGATGTCTAACGTTATTCGGAAGGGCTGCATCGAGAGTCTCTCACTTCCCAATTCAGACGTTGCTTTTCAAATAATTGCATTGTCATGATCAACTACCCGGACATTAATCATAATCGATGGGCCTCCCATTCCTACACTCCAGTCATTGAGTGGAGCTCGAGGAGGAGGAGGAGCAGACGTGTCTCCTTTATCTTTAAACGCGCTGCTTTGTCCGCATGCAAGCGAATACACATCGTGACTAACTGCTCAAAAACATCACCATCATCAGCCATGGTCAATCCACTGCTGGATGAAGGCCGCCGCCGCCAACAGCAGCCGCCGCCACCTCTCCCGATCCCCGCTATGTAATTAATGCACCCACCACGTGCACTTACGTCATCGCTCCATCTCCTCGGCGCACGTCCAGCGGACGCGTTCGCATTTCTCGGCTCGTGGGATTTAAAGTTGGAGACGCGGCACCAGTGAGCGTTTACCAATATCGCTGTTTACCAATATCGCTGTTTACCAATATCGGTGACCAATACCGGTGGTTGACTCGCAACCAACACTCGGTCGCAACCGCACGCGGAGGAGAGTGTATGGGGGCCGTGCGAAAACATCCCGGAACACCTGGGTGGTGTGTTCGGGGACGTCTTGATTGTTTTGTGTCTGGTTTGTTGTCCTACCCCTGCACCTCCCATTGGCACGGGTGGCTACGTGCGGTGCGAAAGAAGTTCGACGTACATGCATCACAGGGTGATGCACTGCTTACTGTGATAGTTTCGAAACGTGGCTCTTGGCCTCGTGACATGACGACGATGGCGTAACTTTAATACAAAAAAAATATTGGTTCAACAAACAAAAATACGGTGTAAAATGTTGTGGATCGAGTGAGCGAGCAAGTGCGAGAAGCGCGCCGCGCCTACACCAACAGCCTCCCAAATCCTCTGGGACAATAACTACCACGCAGATAAGAAGCGGAGACTTCAGAGCGCCGTCACCCTTCCCGCGCAGGTGTAACGAGCGATAGGCGACAATTAATCCCTGATTAGACTTAATTAGGGCCGGCGCCAGGCATCAGCCCGGATGAAGACGACGTCATGCCGTAATAATTAGGCGAATTAGACGGGCTAGACTCTATGAGCCGTTGTTCATTAACCTCGGAGCGGAGGTGAAGTTTAGCCGCATTTTTATTTTATTTCACCAGGTAAGGCCTGCTGAGCTATATATAGATCTTTTTCAGACGCGACATGGCCACAAATGATAGGTCGCGTGGAAACGTATAGTAGCCCAAATACTTTAAAACGCATGATTCTAAATGGGGAGGGAAAAACCTGAAGACCCCGAGAAAAATCCACGCAACCGTGATGATGATGAGAGAGAGAGACACGCAAACTCTAAATATACAGCAGGCGTCAGGGTCGGGATCGAACCCATGTCCTCCTGTATACCATGCGAGGTGGTTAACATCACATCAGGGTCGAGATGGAACCCACAGCCTCCTGTATACCAGGCGAGGTGGTTAACATCACATCAGGGTCGAGATGGAACCCACAGCCTCCTGTATACCAGGCGAGGTGGTTAACATCTCATCAGGGTCGGGATGGTACCCATGTCCTCCTGTATACCAGGCGAGGTGGTTAACATCTCATCAGGGTCGGGATGGAACCCATGTCCTCCTGTATACCAGGCGAGGTGGTTAACATCTCGCCACCGTGGCCCCCCTGCACTGCACAGACGTGAACGGATGGATACATCAACAGTCAATCTGAA